ATATATATATATATATATATATATATATATATATATATATGTATATGTCAACGTTAATATCAGAAAGTTGAAGAGACGAAAAAAGATCTGCTGATAACTTGCAATGGTAGGGAGTTTACTGAAATAGAAGTGAGGGCACAGATAGTTTTATTTTTTCTCAAACCATTGTATAGCATCGTGGACTCTTTGTTACTTTTAAATGATTAGTTATTCGAAAATGCTGTTTTTCAGACAATTAATAGACGATGACTGTGTACATCTGTCCGGAAACTGGAGATGATAATAATGATGGCAGCGAACTGAAACCTTTGAGGTGATTTTTGTACTTTTGTTTAGTTATTCTTAAACCAAAAACTTGGAGCAAACGAAGTAAAGAAGAATATATTAAGGACAAACTTCTGCACAAACTTCCAAACTTTCTGCTTTAAGGACACTTTTTCAAGCAATGATAATTTCCAAATCTCCGAATGGTAATTTCTTAGTAAGAACAACGAAGGATGGGAAACAGATGTGGGAAGCTGCCTCAAAGACGGCACTAAAGAAAAATCAGAAACGTTACGAACAGGAAATGTTGAAGAGAAAAAAGTTACAGCAAAGGTAAACGGTGTTTTTGGGGAAATGGGCTCACTAGCTTTCATGTTAAAAGGAATGGTGTAGCGTCCATGCGTAATTACTTTTAGTAGTGAAAAATGAATTAAAAGATGGATAACTTTATACTGAACGTTTTAATCAGCAGCGATATCACATTAGTATTTTTTATGTAACTTTGAAATCTTCAAGAAGAATGCAGTGGAAGTGGGAGCAACAACGGCCCTTGAAGAAGCGAAAAAGGTGCATATAGAACTGAATATGAGTCTATCATGTCTCACAGGTCTGAAGATTCGTGATCTTATTAAGCACCGTAATGAACGTGTCTGCGTCAAAGGATGGGTTCATCGAATACGTCGACAAGGTATTCTGCAGTTACCATTTTTTGACTGTCACAACTGGTTCTATAAAATTCACTTTTTTTTTCCTCTCTTTGAACTGATTATAATCTGACTGTATAATGAGATAATTTTCAGGAATTCAGATTGTTTGGGATGTTTTTTGTTTCTTTCTTTCCAAAAGATATATTTATCTCGTGATAAAAATGTATTTGTCTCTTATCTTGTCTTTGTAGGGAAGTCATTGATGTTTTTTGTTCTTCGGGATGGAACTGGTTTCCTTCAAGTGGTGCTCATGGATAAACTGGTTAGTCATTTTTTTCATTGTGAAATAAGGCCTTGGTTTTTTGTGCTTTAATTTTTAGATTTGAAAGGAATTAATAGTATTTTTCACAAAGTAGTGTGAGCTTATTAAGTCAACTTTTTTCAGTGTCAGACGTATGAGGCTCTCAGTGTGAACACCGAAAGCACGGTTGAGATTTACGGTGTAGTAAAAGAAGTTCCCGAATGTAAAGAGGCACCGAATGGGCACGAGTTAATAGCTGATTTCTGGAAAGTAATAGGAAACGCACCCTCTGGAGGTATTGTCCCATAATTTCATTCATTTTGTTCTGTCGCATTGACTCGCTTCATTTTACTGAATCATGGCAAAATTCAGAGAGCACCGTGCATTAGTTTTTAAAATAGAATGATTAGAACTACACATGAAGTGCTTTAAACAAAGTATTATTAATACAGATAAAGTACACTTGCTTACACTGCAGTTATTCCAAACGAATATTTCTCTAGTTACTCATAAAGCTCATGTGAACCATCGTAAGGCCGGTTCAAATACATGTAGCATACTGTTTGGCTAAGTATAAAAAATATGAAACTTCCTACATTTGTTTTTGTCATACGTTGTATGTAATTAACTTATTTCATCGTATTGGTTGTATGCCAATAGGGACCCTAATTCTGATAGTTCATATCATTGCAGGTATTGATAATGTACTGAACGAAGAAGCTGGTGTCGACAAAATGTTGGACAATAGACATTTGGTTATTCGAGGTGAAAATGCTGCTGCTTTGCTACGTTTGAGAGCAGCTACTACTCGAGCAATGCGAGAGCATTTTTATAATGCCGGCTATGTAGAAGTCGCTCCACCGACTTTAGTTCAAACGCAGGTTACTACGTATTTGGTGAAGTATTAGGAACTTTTCCTGTCTCTCATAATATATAAGTATGTCTTGCTGAAATGGTTGAAAATTATAGTTTTTTAGGTAGAAGGTGGATCGACATTATTCAAATTCGACTATTTTGGTGAACCATCGTATCTTACACAGTCGTCACAACTCTATTTAGAAACTTGCATCCCGCCCTTGGCGATGTCTTTTGCATTGCTCAGTCTTACAGGTGTGTATGCGTTATTTCTTTTTTTGTGTAGAAAACATATGCGGCATTATAATGCGGTGCCACTTGATGCCCAGTAATCATATTTACTTTGAAACTTCTCGACTTTAAACGGTTAGCAAAATGTTGGAACGATGTTGCCAGCTAGTAATTAAGACCCAGTCATAATGCTTTATTATAACTAAAGTCTAATGATACACTATGTTAAAGAGGCGTGCAATTAGTAGTTTTACTGCTATCTGAATTGCTTTTCATAACTACCAGAGAGAGAGAGAGTAGATTTGTTTCACAAATGGAAGATGCTGCTTTTGGTTGATAAATTAGAAAAATTTCAAATTCTAGTGAATGTTATTTAGTTCTCTGAATATTTTTTATCTTTCTTATTATAGAAAATGCTTTTTTAAGAGCAGAAAAATCTCGTACTCGTCGACATTTGGCGGAGTATGCACATGTTGAAGCTGAATGCCCCTTCATAACGCTAGATGATTTAATGATGAAAATTGAAGAACTGGTTTGCGATACAGTCGATCGACTTCTGGCTGATGAAGAAGCGAGAAAATTATTAGAACACGTTAATCCGGCTAGTTCTTTTTTTTTATTTTCTTTTTTTTAGAGAATTTATAATATTTCGAAATTTTTGGCGTGTATTTTTATGTTCTCCCTCAATTTTTCGTATGACTCAGTTCTGTTTGTATGCTTAAAAGTTAGTTCTGTAATTTGAAAACTAGATAAAAGCGTTTGGTATGTATGAATTCTGCTTTTTGCTTCTGTATTTTTTTATTTCGGAACTCGTAATAAAACCTTAATAATCAACAAGATCATCCTTCATCAGTGTACAGGAGTTATCACTGGTGTTTTACGCTTTTCTCTCCTCATTACTCCTGCATTTTATTGACTTTTATTCTCCTTTTCCAGAAATTTGAACCGCCAAAACGACCATTTTTAAGAATGCAATACAAAGATGCTATCAAATGGTTGCAAGAACACAACGTTCAGAATGAATTTGGTAACAGTTTTAGTTACGGTAATGACATCGCTGAAGCTGCAGAACGTTACATGACTGATACTATCAACAAGGTAAGCATTTTTACGGGATTATTTTCAGCACATTACATTAAGCACTAAGGTTTGGAGTTGGAATTTACAGTTGGTTTTAAAAAACTGAAAAAAAAACCGGTACTGATTTAACTTTAACATAAAAAATCAATTATTTATTTCTGTTGAATATAGCGGAAATACTATAGGAAAGGCCATATACTTTGGATAACACTGGGCGATGAGATTGGGATTTATAAAAATAAAGGAGAAAAGATGAAAAGTCAACTCTTAATGAGTTTTTAATAACTACAGCGAGAACACTACAGGAAAGGAAAAGCATATTTTTTGAATAGGATTTGGAAATTCCAAAGATTCAATTTAATGAAGGTGATTTTGCTCTAGTTTTCACTTATATTTTTGATATATTATAGCCAATTCTACTGAACCGTTTTCCAAGCGAAATTAAGGCATTTTATATGCAGCGGGATGCGCAGGATAATACCTTAACAGAATCTGTCGATCTTCTTATGCCTGGCGTTGGTGAAATTGTTGGGGGCAGTATGAGAATTTGGAAGGTATGTTCCTCAACAACTTCAGCATACACATTTCAATAAAAAGAATTTACCAAAGTATAGCTCATCACTTTCTTAATTTTTTTTTATGGATAATTTCTTCATATGGTTTAGTTCGATGAGCTTTCGAAAGCATTTGAAAATGCGGAAATCGATCCGAAACCATACTATTGGTACTTGGATCAATGTCTATTTGGCGCTTGTCCACATGGTGGCTATGGACTTGGTTTAGAACGTTTTATTTGTTGGTTAACGAACACCTATCACATTCGGGATGTGTGTCTCTATCCACGCTTCGTTGGTCGATGCGCTCCATGAGTACCATGCGTTTGGAAATTTAGTTCCTCGTGGTTTAATCAGTTTGTGAACCGGTCGAAGTAATAAGCTGCTTAAGACTGTTTTCTGCTTCTCAGTTTTTATGGTCACAAGCATATTGTTGGAAAAATGTTGTTACATCCATAATTTAATAAACATATTGCATAATTGTACCACTGTACGTACGCTTACGTAATTTATCAAGCTTTTGTAACATATATTTACCAGAAATGTCGAACATTGTAAAAGTACGGAGAAAAAGAACCTTTTAGCTACGTGTTTATATTGCCATATGAAGTGGATGAGAATATTTCCTTCATACAATAAGATGTAACAATATGGTCAGTCATGTGGTGCTTATTTAGCTTGAAATTGATAACATGGTATTCTCTTTCGAAGTCATACTCTTGATGATCAAATAACAAGTGTCATACGATATATTCTAACAATTATTAATTGGGAAGGCACATCATTTGTGGGTGTGATACGTATCATTTGCATTTTCGAATTGAATAAGCGTTTTTAGGCCATTGTTAAGCAGATCCTAAATATCGGAAAAAAATCGAAGAGATCGTAATCGTAATACGTCCAAACAATTAAAGAATTTGTTGTAAAAAAATATTTGTTATAAAGGACTCATCACATTCTACAAACAGTATATGCAACGTTTTCTATATCTAAAGCGGTAAATCTGTTATCGAAGGTCAATGTTGTAAAATGTCTTCTCCCTTGATGTTGAGATTGAGCACATCTGCTAACCAGAAAGTTGTAAAATAGCTCTGGTGAGATGATTCTGTGAGATATCCTCTTCTTATCAAGAAATCTATTATGCAAATATTTCTTGCAGCAATGAAATTTTTGTCGACTTTGTAAAGACCTTAAATGGAGCTATTCTCTTATCTTAGGCCCGACCCACTTATGGGTAATATAAAAGCCCCAATAAACGCATTATTGACATTCAAAAAATAAATCTTTGTCGAAGATCACAAAACGCTTTCTTCGTCTCCGTTTAAATAGACTGTAACTCCCAATTTGATCTAGTTTCACTATCAAGTACCACTGTATTATTATAATTGCTATACTTCTACTACTGAATAAACCTTTCTCTTGCTATTCAACACATACAAACGAGATTTTCCCTACATTAAGATGTCCGTAGGTCAATATATTTACTCCTTCGATCGACAGACATGGCTTCCAATTTCTAAACAGTAGTTTTTAGATTTCGAAAGGTTTCGGAAATACCTACTCATATCAAGTATGTCACCTTCTAAAGTTGTTTCAGAACTGTTTTCATAAGTCGTCGAAGTTTTCCCCTGCTTGTACGATTGCTCTCATGTCATCAGCTATGCCGCCAGTTCCAGTCATTCCTCCCGCTTTAACTGGCAGCAAAGAAGGGTATTTTTGTATGATCATATTTTTGGTTCTTGGGAATGTTTTCAGACATGTCGACTTAGTTCCAGGAAACATCGCTAAACAAAATTCTCTTGTACCAATATCCTAGATTTCGTCATCTAGCACATTTGTTTAAGGTAGCTCCTTAACTTTTCTGATTTCCTTTACGTTTACTTCCTGAAATCGATACGATGATAAAAGGTTCTTGCTTTCAGGACATTTGCATTTTTTACTGTTCGCGATCGTTGGCCAAAGATATTAGGTAAAATAGTTGACCAAGTGCATCGATATCGATATGCTCATATTGCTGTTCATGGCGAGGTGCTTCATTTTTTTTTGTCTGCTTAATCTTCATAGTTAGTGGAATTATCAGCAGAATTACCTGTGATACATGATTTTCTTTGATTATGTTTTCTTTTTCTTTTTTTGGGAGGAAGAAGGGATGCGGACAGTTACTGGATGCATATCTGGAATGCTATATCCTTAAAATTTTTGTCGAAAGTTAATGAGTAATACCAACCCCCCTTCTAGTTTTTAATCATTTTAATAGTTTTATTTAGAGTTTATTTGCAAAGTATCGCTATGAAGCAGATTGTTGGCAACTACATAAAATGTGCAGGAATAATAGCGGAATTTTTGGTGTTTTACCACGGTTAAAACAAGATTCCAAACTTCAGTGTGCTCATCTTAAGCATCAGCGACATAGCATCAGCTCAGCCACAGCCAACACTGCATATCATAAAAAACCCAGAAAAAGTAGACCACATCCTGAGATATCTTTGTATACAACGATTCTTCCCCGAATGGCACTAGTTTTATTCCTTTTTATGAGGACTATCCATTGTTAACAAATATTAATAAAGTGGATTTGGGAATCTGTGAAAGGGAAGAACGAAGAGGACAGATTATGTTTTGGTAACATAATTCCTGGTTTCATCTTTTGGAAAAACTACCTGCATATATTCTTAAGACGACTCCAAAATACTTTTCTGCAGGTTCATCTGGAATAGTGAGGTACTTCTTTCCGTAATTTGCTTGTGTACTTCTCGTCTATGATTTCGGTAGATGGGATCTTATGAGAGTTGATCGCAGAAAGATAGATCGAAATTCCAGAAAAAAGCAAACTGTATGATGAAGTCAAATATCGTGACTGTAGAAAATAGAAGTGATTTCGACATGTTTGTTTTTGTTGTACAAAGGCTAGGAAGGCAGGACAGATGCCAATTTAAAAGCCAGGTGATGAATACTGTTTGCAGTCGAAATTATACCTGAAATCGGAAGCCTTGATAGAGTTTTTATAACAACAAGGAAGCACAAAGTTTTTAGAGTTAATTACGCTTTGATGAGATATTGCAGCCAGAGATGTCGGTATTATTTCATACTTATGCATATGTCAGGTTTTGTGTATGTCAATATTTTTTGTTCTTGCTACTACGCATGGGATTGTCAGACCTTTCTATTAGATGGTATACCATGATAAAATTAATGTAATTTTGTTTTCAGCTCTTAGTGAAAAGATTGCGATTTGAAAAATTGTGCATCCATCGTGTATTTTTATTTCCCTGCTAGGATCAAATTTGAAGTGTGATCACTCTACACTTCAATTTTGTTATAGTTTTTCTGGATCCTAGTTTGACTACTTTTACTTACTTCAGGACGGCGAAAAAGATATTAAATCGGTCCTCAGTCAGTTGTCTGAGTTATCGTACTTTGTTGCCACCGACAAACCATTGCAAGATCTTATTGATCATGGAGAAAAGGTCAATATTTGGAATAAAGAGCTGAGAGAATTGCGAATGAAGGTGCTTTCATAGAGCTACGAAATATTTCATGTTATTTGATTATTTTGTTAAATATTTTACATTAATTGAATCACCGGTTCTCGAAAACGGCTTTCTCTCGCTTTAAACTTTTTGTCTTTAACTTCGATCGAGTCCATGGGAGTTAACAAATATTTGGGACTGTAAACAACCTGGAAAGCACGGTAGAATAAAGCACCATCCTTTATATTCCGGAAAGTATTCTTTTAACCATTTCTAAAATATTGAGCCATAAGTTTTCAAAACCTACAGGTTTTGAAAAATAATACTTCTTTAGCAGCTTACCCTGTAGTAGACTGTGACATAACTTTTACTCGTAGACTGAATTAAAAAATGACCGTTACACAAATGACATTTCAGAAAGGTGCGGAGCAAGTAACTTGGTATCGTTGTGATTGGTTGTTTGCTGAGTGTTTTTTATATAGACAAATTGTGAGTTTTTTTTTGAAAACAACAACACTGAAAGAATTCGATCCATTCGCATCACAAAAACAAAGCTCTTTTATTAGTTGGTAAGTATTTTTTGTTTTATATATATATATATATATATATATATTCTAGTTATTTCCTATGAAGGAAACTGATTGCAGAAATAAAACAAGTGCAAAGTTTTCTGCAAAATATGTAGTAAATTTTAGCATTGATACGATTATCATGCTTGCAAAACGCATGGAAGAAGTGACATCAGCAACAGCAAATGTAGATGATGGCATAATTTGCCATTTTTTTCAGGTATGTGATATTGGCATTAGGAAGTGTAAAATTTAAAATCTCACTTCTTAAACTAAATTTTTTTCCACTTAGTTGTGTCTATGGGGGAATACATGTGATTTGTCGCTATCGTGTGGCGAACGCGTTATCTCATTGCCCCTTTTGGATATGGTTGACCAGTTGGCCGATAAAGTCTTATGTAATCAGATTGGTGAAGTTGTTCGCATTTTAAAGTAATTAGTATATGAAGCTTTTCATATGCAGCTTTTGGAATTATCTTATTTTCCACCTTACTTTCTTGATTATTTTCCCAATCAAAAAAAAGTAGGGTAATTAATTTAAAAAAGACAATTAATAGAAAAAGTAAGATGATTAATAAAAAAGTAAGAAAATTAATAGAAAATGAAGTGCTTCAGGAATGGTGAAATGGATCGAATAGATATAGTTCTTGATAATTCTGGTCTTGAACTTTTTACTGACTTAGCACTTGCAGAATTATTAATTGGAAAGTACAGCGTAAAAAAGGTTATTTTTCACGGAAAGGTATGTACTTTTATAAAATCTGTACTAATTAATTTAAAACTTGTGGGAGGAATTTCGAATTTTGCTCAACTTGGAGTTTTTTTTCTTTTTTTTGCAAAATTCTGCATCATTAATTTTTTCTTTGTTCTACACTTTTTTCGCTTCTATTTGTTAGAGAATTGAATACTAAAGTTGTGAAGTTTATAAACTTTTGGCTTAGTAAAGATGTAGTTTCAATTTAAAAGTGCTCTTTTTATTTGTCTGAGCAGCGGAATCAATCTTCCATCCGTATTGTCATTATTATTTGGGACTTGGCAAATTTTCAACTTTCACAATCATAATGTATGAAAAGTATATATATATATATATGTAAATTTGTGTTTACAGAGTATGCCATGGTTTGTATCGGACGTTACTGGTAGAGATTTCAACTGGATAATCGAAATGCTGATTGCTAGTTCAGACAACTTGCTGAAGAATTTTGGTGTAAAATGCTCACAAAGATTATCTGACGTATGGTTTTTTGGAATTGTTACAGAACTAAATGGAAAATCATGAATTTTCCTCTACACAAATCAATTTTTAACATTATTGTTTCCTGAGTAAAAAATACAGAGCAAACTAATGGTGGTGATTTGCTTTTACTTTAAATTCTGCTCAGAGTACCTTCTAGGAGGAAAAATGTTTTTCAAAGTTTTAATTTAAAAAAAGTTTGAGCGGCTGATGGAACTTTTAATAAATTTCAGCTTGTAGCCAGCTTGGAGAGTTTCTTTTTTTTATCAGTACAGATTCTTTGTTATTTTCAATGCATTGACTTTTTTTAGGGTGAATTTTGCTTCCAAACTCATTATTTCTGGACCCTTCCATATCCAAATTACTTAATGCCTGAGAAGGCTTCAGATCTTCATCGTGAATTGTCGCAGTCGTCATTGATCATTTTCAAAGGCGATTGTAATTATAGGAAGTTGGTCAGTGATCTAGAATGGCCGCTGGATACTCCGTTCAAAGTAATTCTAATTGTTAATTTCTTTGTCCACTACGCATGTTAGTAAGATTGACAAAAGTGCGTGTTAAGAACTTCTACCAATATTTGGCAGATTAGTTCCGATATGGAATGTGTCTGACTCTTCTAAATGTGTTTGACTCAGGTAATTTTAGATAGCTTTACGAGGTTTTGCTCCGGCACCGATTTTGGTACTTCGTACTATAAAAGCAGAAACGTTGGCAGGACTAGATTCAAATGTGGTCGACAATTTACAAAGAAAATACGGTAACAGTAAGATTTGGATGACGACGGGAGAATATGCTGTCGCACAGTTCGTGAGATGATTCCTTCTTTTCTATCTTATCATTTCATAATTCAGAAATTCAACAGCTGCAATAAGAGCCCTTTGGTATTGGATTCTGTCTGTATTCTGTTGGATTAAACTAGACTTAATAGTAATAGTAAAAGCTTACTGTTGAGACAAGGAATTGTTAGAATAGTACAAATAGTTATAAAATAAATATGAAAAATACGGAAGGGAACTTGACTTCTTATCAGCAGTAAATCAATATTGTACAGTTCCTTACCAGGATTTCAAGTTAAGTGAATTGAAACTAAAGTCGCAGTACTTGGAAATTTTCATTTGCAAAACCTTGTTTGCTAAATACAGCCGTGTTGATTGATTTGCATTTTTGTTAAACATCATTAAACTGCAGTGAGTATGTTGAATAAATTACCCACAAATTCTTTTTTTCATTCGCAGTAACATCAGTCAATGTAAAAAGGAATAAGGCGAAGGGATCTATTTATGAATACAGTTCTGAAGCAACTTTATGACATATTCGATATGAGAGAGTCTCCACGTAAACCTTTTGATAGAAATTGGTCGCCATAGCTTATCAAATTATTAACTTGGGGAATTTATTGCCATTTCACCAAAAGTAACTTTTATTAGCGACAAATCACATGAAATTGCATCCCTCTAACACAGAATATACCAGTAGAAGAAATGATGCTGGAATAAAACATACGGAGGGAAGATTAGCGTGATTATAACTGATTATAATTTCGATTAAATTTTGTTAAGAAATTAAATGTAAATGTAAAGATCACAAAAGATTGCAAATTTAGATCAGTTGTATGAGAGAATTACTCAAATCTACGAGTAATTCGTCTTCTCCTAATTTTCACCCAATCCAATTCTTGCATCATGAGCTGTACTGACTCACTCTATCATATCAGTGTTATTTTCACCACGAAAAAAGCGACTAATTAAATTGATCTTTCACCTCTTCTTGCCACAGACTCTTGTAATTATGTTTGAGCAGACAACTAAAGAAGATGATTAACTGTAAACAATGTTATCAATTCATTCATTCGCGAAACTATGAAGTGACACTGAAGTCACTCCATTTTCCACTTTTTTTTAATAGCCTTTCTGATATTGAAATAAAGTCTGAAGTTATTAATGCCAATTAAACTTAGTCAATTTCATAAAACAATGCTAACGAGATCAATAGTGTTCAATAGTTATTGGCGTGGTGTATTTTGTTGGTACTAAAAACAAGTTAAATTAGATTTCGACTGTTGCAATTAAGTTTTTCAGATCATCTATCTCACTATATGTGTGTTAGAAATGATAACAAAAAAAGACTGATTGAGTAGGTTAAGTACTCAAACCTGTGATGACATCTTTTCCGCTCTAAACATGATGCCATAAGCTGACAATGGTATTGCTGCGACCATGACTACCTTTTGAAAGCATAATGCTTATCAAAATGATAAATAGCTAACTGCTGGCTATATATGTTATCAAAAATGAAAGCATAATTTGTATCAATTTCAGTGATAATTTGAATAAGGAAAGAAATCATTTGTGGATCTATCATGTAATATCCAATAAATTATGTGTAATTCATCTTTGATTATCATAATCAATGCCATAAAATATCAGCCCTTCGTCATTATTTTATTCAGTTTACAAATTCATCGTATTTGTTCGGAGAATGTTTTTTTAATATAAATAAGAAAGATTCTTGCATTAAAGTTATCGGTGCAATTATCAATCTTGGATTGATTCAGAGTGCAAGAGGAGAAGTTAAGCTTATGGATTTGCTAGTGTCCATAAAATAGTTCGTGAAATTATTTTCGGAAGTATTGCCGACATTGATGCTGCAGTGACATTGTTTTTTTTATTGAAGATTTTTTTTAATTCTTAATTTTTTTTGCAGACTTTCAGGTTACTTCCTTATATCTTACTATGTCTTCTCGTTTTTTTGCGCCTATTCATTGCCTTTACTTCATGACATAGCTGCGGACAGGGGATGGTCATTTAATATGCATGCTTGCAAAGATTAGCTCAATATGTCAATATTTTTTCAACGTTTTTTTTTTTAAAGTTAAAATAAAATGTGGAAAAGAAAAAAAGAGGAATGAATGTTAGAATGGAGAGAGTGTGGAGAAAGGATGATGATAATTATCACTTCCTGAAGCTGGTTGAACAGTTTTGGCTATTGAGCAGAGTTTTCAAGTATGCTACAGTCGAACACTCATTAATTTAACTTCTTTAGCTGACAAAAAAGAGACGACGGCACTGAAGCTCTTTTATCTTCAATTCACACTTTCCTTCTCTTCCTTGCCCTTTTTCCTGCTATTATTTCTTCTTAATTTTTATTAAGACATTACTTTCTCCATATTTCTATATATTTTTACGATATGACCCTAAAAGCTCTGTTATTGCCAATTCATATGGTTGTATGAATTGTATGATATCAGTTACAGAGACCAAAGAACTGGCAGGTTTTTCTGTCATTTCAAAAAATTTTACACCTTTAAACAATTTCAAAATTAAGAAGAAGTAATGTGACGCATCCATTCATTCCACCACGAAGTTTATTAGTTGCAATATTTATTCCTCAAATCAATGGTGAAGTCTATGCACGCACTTGTCTGTTTGATGACTTTGTCTAGTGGATCATTTGTTGGATCTCATTATTTCAAAATAGGTTATTATTTAAATAAGGAGGATAAAAATTCGCAGGTTCATTAGCGACCAGATATGACTTCCCTTCTCAAAGTTTTTCCAAAGGGATTCTGAAAAGGTGACAAGTTGAAGAGAGCTTGTTCTGCTGTCACAGGTTTACATTATGCTTGTTTGCGTGTTTGTGTGTGTGTGTGTGTGTGTGTGTGTGTGTGTGTGTGTGTTGTGTGTTGTGTGTGTGTGTGTGTTG